TATCTAACAAATCCGCCTACCAATGGTGATATCAAGTGGCGGCATACTTACGCCCAAGACAATATTCGCAACTTTTCAAGTGCCTGCCATATCGCATTTATCAATCCAAATATACATTCCATTCACCTGAAAGTGGCCGCCACACAACAGCAACAACAACAACAACAACACTAATAATATTGAGCCTCTTCAAATGTGGTTATCATTTCAGATCTTAAATGGCGTGGTAAAAATCAAAATGTAGAGCAAAACGTGCCTTCCGTTGGAGAAGCAATTGGTAAATACGAACAATTGATGAAGATACGATTGGTGATGAATTCTGATTTTTATGTATTTGATCCATAGGCATGATAATATTGTCTAGGCGGAATTGAATACGGTGTAATGATATTTCGAAATTATGTTGTTAAAATTTTTAATAGACAAACAAAGTAGTTGAGCCGCCTATACAGAAATAATTGCGGGTGGATTCAAGAAGTGCCGCCCTAACTGTTTTTCTTACTTTCGATGTTACATTTTTCTGTCCTTGAGAAAGTCGTTTATTGCATTGAATTTCAATGAAATGAAAAGAGAGTGCTGTGGGAGGCCTACGTATTGTTGATACGAAAATATGATAAGAATTGTACGTTCAACATCGCAACATAATGATGTTTTGAATTCACCAGATAACATAAAATTCGATTTCGACTTTAATATTAATTTTTCGATTTATTTCTGAAGTAAGCATTACATAATCTATCAAATACTAACAAGTTAAAAAGTATCAGTCGGTTTTGCTGACAGATGTATACCCTCAGTCAATGTTCGATTATTTTAAAATATTTTGATTTCTGTTATGAATTTTCAAATTCTCGACCCTCTATGCAGTGGGTTTGGAAAGAGTGGGTTAATATTGTCCATTTCGTATCTGACATTAATAAATATGACATAAATATTATATATATATATATATATATATATATATATATATATATATATATATATATATATATATATATATATATATATAAGAAAATCGAACATTTATACCCAATTTATGGGAAATCATAAATTCCATATTCATCGTATAATTGTGGATGAGAGACATATATTTAGATATAGCTAGTTGTAAAGAATCGCTGAGTTGCTCTGCAATTCATGACAGATAAAAGTATTAAAAATTTTGTCACTGTGTGGGTGAGGTACCAGAAGGGGTTGTGTTAGCAAAAATGTTTGTGTCTGAAATTTGAAGAGAGTCGGATGCTTATTTCCCTTTTTCAAAATTTTGAACCGTATGTGGGATAGGTAGCAAAAGAAATGGTCCGATCTCTACCGTCTTTATAACAGATCTTGTGTTGATGGAAATATTGAGATGTACCATGTCTGGAATAGAATCGGATGTTGATTTCGCTTTTTCTGAACTTCATGGATATTCAAAATTTTGAGCGTTTGTGGGAGAGGTACCAGAAGGAGTGGGCCGATATATTCCCTCTTACTACCAGATCTTGGTTTCATAAAAATAGTACGATGTGTGAAATTTGAAGACAATCGGACTCTTGCGTCATATTTTTTAAGAGTAATAATTATTCAAAATTTTTACCCTTTGTGGGAGAGGCACTTGATGGAGTGGACCAATACTATCCATTTTGGCACGAGTACTAGAACTGACGCAATTATTAGGTTTTGCAAAATTAGATTATTGCTTCCCTTTCTGTGCAGAAAAAATTTTGAAAAATTTGAAAATTTCCACCTTTTGTGGGGGAGGTACCAAAAGGAGTAGACCCATATATTCCATCTTCACACCAGACCTTGGGTTAATAAAAACATGAGGATGTCTGTGTAACTTGAAGACAACAAGGCTATCATATCACATTTTATTGGAGTTATAATTATTCAACATTTTGACCCTTTGTGGGGGGGGGGGGGGGGGGTGTGTACCTGATGATATCTTTCATTTTCGTACCTAATCTCTCGCACTTATGCAAATATTAGAATTTGCAAAGTTGTAGCAAAATCGGATGATCCTTTCCCTTTCTGTGCAATAAAATTTTTTTTTTTTTTTTTGAAAATTTTGACCTATTGTGGGGGAGTTGCCAGAAGGAGTGGACCCAGATAGCCCCTTGCATGTCAATCTGTCCATGTATTTTTGTGAACAAAATTCAGGTCGCATTTGTTATCCGACTAAGATGAAATTTTCCAAACAATATTTGTTCGACCCAAGGACGAACCCTATTGAAATTTGTGAGAAATTTAGATATAGCTTAGATATAGCCTTATCGAAGTCATAGTCGGTATGATCTACTTCACATAAATACCCAATATAGACTTTTTTGTTACGGGTGTTCTACTAAATACGCATAGTGGTGTAGGGTATCACATAATCGGCCCCGCCCGACTATTGACCTTTCCTTACTGGTTTTTATTATGGAACAATTTTCAACTGACAAATATTCTACAGTTTTAGCTATTCTTAACATTTTAGAATTGAGTGACTTCTATATTTTCACTCATACTCCTGATCATATGCTATGGGCGACCTCTGGCGATCCGATTTTTTTCGGAGATAAACGGTGAGAACATTTCTTAGTCTATATTTTCATTAGTCTATATTTACACACACAATGTTTGCCGAGGGAGGGAGAGTTACTCTCTCGATGTTTACGTCTCATTACGTCTCAAACATGCAAAATCAGAGCTTTTGTGTTGGTAGTGGTTGGCTAGCCCTTCTTGTAGTTTCTTATTTTTGGTTTGTTTGACTACTGAAGCGGAGATTCGAACCAGTGGCCTCATGTTTTTTTTTTTTAGTCGGGCGTGCATACTCCATGCTGTCGCTACTCATTACTTGGTAAGATTATTTTACTTACTGGTAACGCAGAAGTACGTTGTTGTCATATTTGCTGGGACATATTTCCAGTGTTAGAATAGCGGAAATGTTCCATGTACCATATCAATAATGTGACAAATGTCTAAATTTAGATTCAATTGCTCATATTTTACTTCTGAGAGATATGTTGCAAAGCCTACTCGAACTTATTCGAGTAACATAGAAAAATAGAGTATCCTCGAGTATTGCTAGCAGGAAATCTACCCCTCGAATTGGAGCTAGTTTCGCTCTCTACTCGTATTCGAGCGAACATTGTAATCGGTTTTAAATGAAAAATATATATTTTTATTTTAAATTTGCGGGGTACTTTTCAATTAATAGGGTAAGTGTACCAGTAGTCGACACTTTTAGGATTTTCGCGTTTTTAATCGCTCACCATTCTGAGTGGAACTTTTCAATTATTAAAAAGTTAATTTATTCATATTCGAAATTTTGTATAGTTTTTGCAATAATAAATAAAGTTTTAATAACTTTTTATTAAATTTCATAAATTTGTAGTTTTATTAAAACAATGCCAATTGTCGGTATGGCATGTTCCAACAGTCGGCATACCAATTTTTTTGTAAGCATAATTAATAATAATAATAAATTAATTCATTAAAATATAATATGTTTGTTTAGTTAAACTGATTCGACGTCTTTATTGTACTTTTCTTAAGAATATGGATTGTTGAGGATCTTCACAGACAAAAATTTAATTTTTATTAGAATAAATCATCTTTTCTTACCGAAATTGTACACAAAGATAGCTGACAATATATTTGAAGTAAACAAAATACATTCAGTTATAATAGTTTCATTTATTTAGGCTTAAAAATAAAAAGTGCCGACTACTGGGACATGCCGAACTTAGGCACACTTACCCTATTTACTGAGTTAAAAATTTCGGGAGGAAACATCACTTATTACTCACCTATATATGTATTACTGACTGAGAATGAACGCTCAGACGAGCGAATCTTGAAATAATCTTGAAATTTTGCACAAGGTGTGTACGCGTATGATAAAAAGCTGAGTTCTGAAAGGGTACGAAAAAGTACTTAATGTACACAAAATTGAAAACTTTGTATTGGGCAAACGGAATACAAGTCATTGATATAGTGCAGGATAGATGTACCAATGGGTTTTTGGAAATTCAAACTTTAAGGTTACGAAGAATTCTAAAATAGTATTAAACTTCTAAAATGGTACCATTTGATATTATGTGAACGGATAGAGTTAAAACTTGAAATTTGGTATTAGAATCAATGTTGGAAAGTAAGTTTGATTTATGAAGGTGGTTAAATGGTACAATATTAGGTGAAAATGTAGAGATGTATATTATAATTGTACGAAAAGTACTAAACATGGTATTGGGTGAAGGGATTGAGCTGGAATCACGAAATAAAATATGGATGTCACTGTTGGCATCTGTGGTTAAGACATGGAGGTGGTTTTGGAAATATGAAGTTGATTTGTTCGAAGAGTACTAAATAGTACAAAAGTTTGTATTGGGCGAAGGAATAGAGCTGGAATACAGAAATTTGATATTGAAGTGTATCTTGGTATTTCGGATCTAGATATGGAGGTGGTTTTAGCAAAGTGTACTATTGTTGTGGGAAAATTACTTAATAGTACAAAATTTGGTATTGGTTGAAGAAATAGAGCTGAAATCCTGAAATTTAAAGTAGGTGCCGCTTTTGGTGTCTGTAGCTAGTATGTGGAAGTGGTTTTGAAAATGTGAACTATAATTGTACGAAAAGTTCTAAATGGTACAAAACTTTGTATTGGGCGAAGTAATAGAGCTATTGAAGTGTATCTTGGTATTTCGGATCTAGATATGGAGGTGGTTTTGGAAATATGTACTATAGTTGTACGAAAAGTACTAAATATGGTATTGGTTGAAGAAATAGAGCTGAATTCTGAAATGTGATATTGATGTCACTGTTGGTGCCTACGTTGGAGAGAAGCAGTTAGCTTTGGATATGCAAAGTATAACTGTGTAGTATAAAAGTATGGTACTAAATATGGGATAGGTTCTTAGGATAAAACTGGAATTGTAACTTAGATATGGAGGTCTCTGTTGATATCTGGTGTTGAGATGTTTTGTTTGTTTTGCAAATTCGTACTATAATTATTCGAAAAGTAAAAAATGGTATTAATTTTGGATCAGTGTTGTTATCTAAGATGGAGAGATGGGGATTGTTTTGGGTTATGCGAAGTAAATGTTACTACAGTTGGTATTGGGTGAAGGGATATACCTGAAATTCTGAAATTCGATACTGAGGTCACTGCTGCTTCCTAGGGCTTACATATGGGAATAGTTTTGGACAGAAAAATTGGATGTGGATGTCTCTGGGTTCTTTTTCAGTAACATTTACTCTTTCGACAGTGAAAATCACTTATTAATCATTATTATAGTATGAGGATGTCGAAATATTTAAAAAAAAATCTTAAAATTGTTTAGAAAAAGCAAAACTTTTTTCCAGCACAAATTTGTTCCCAGTACAAAATTTGTCAAAAAATACATTTTAAATTTTGCAAACATCGTTTTTGTACATTGAATATTTTATTTTATTTCTTCAAAATTGTCTTAAATATTATTTCACCCACAAGTACCAAGACGCCTATCAGGTGCATTACCAGCAGACCAATAAAAACCAGACGTATCTTTTCCAAGGACAATGCAATGGGTGTTATATTCATATTTCCGTCATTATTTTTTAGTTCTTCTTGTGAGTCGAAAATTCCCAAAAAATCCATCATCCACTTCTTGAGAATACCAGCCGAATTCAAATTATCCACAATTCGATTAAAAGGCTCCAACAAATAGGACTGAGGTCGTGTATAGGCACAAACTTGATTCAGCACCACGATGCCAGGTAAAGTATTGAAATCATCATAAAGACGTCGGCTTCTGATGAAGGCCTGATGTTGCCAATAATTTGTCAGCATGGCCACTGGATAGTTAAACTCAAGCATTTGCTCATAGCTCTCGAAATCATCGGTATAATTCAATTCCTTAATTTGTGCTCGTGGAACTTGCAGAGCATCCAGCAATTCTTGTAAAATAAATTTCTTCTTGAGAAATGTGTAGTTCTTGGCAATCAGTTCTGATACCGTGTTAAGACCCCGATTTGATTTCAGATGAAAGGCTGCATACAACTTGCCCTGAAATGAACCATTAATAACCATGAAGGCAAATGCTATGAGCATCACAAAATATCGGGTGCTTTGGAATTGGTATTGGATATTGCGAGAATTGCCCAATGCCAAGCCGAGTATATCCAACCAGGTTAGTTTAAATATTTTCGAAATACATCGCAACAACTGGACCACCATCACTTGTAGCGTCAATGCGAATATGTATAATAACCAGACGCGAGGACCGAAAGGTGCCAACAGCCACTCGCCATCAAGTTGCCACCTTTTCGTAGTGACCACCACTGTGGGCGTAAGAAAGTACACCGAACTTGAGCCAAAGTAACGTGTCCTTGTTAAATATTTATAATAACCCATAAGGATATCGAATTTCTTCTGCTTCAAATCGTAAAATACTCCAGTCACAGTACCATTTTTATAGACCTCGCTGACCAGACTCTCGTTAATTGGATGACGAATTGTTTGGAAATTTAACTTCTTGGCCAACAAACATATAGTTTCGCCTTGCATGCCCCAGTATTTCTCGTCGAGTGCGTGTGTCATATAACTCGACCTACCCAGTACCGGTACCGGAGGTCGCATTGCAATATTAAGCGGACATTGGTGGAAATTTTTCAATTTATTGGGGAAAATCTCTTTGGATTGCAATATTCCTTTGCGGAAGGTATTAAATTTGCGCGGCATCACTTGGCGACAGTGTCCGGGTCGAAAGACGTCATAGGTATACCAGTGAAATGTGGAATTGCCAGCATATATTGCGACCACAATATCGACAATATTTCGTTTGAATGCCTTTTCAAATATTCGTTGCACTTCTCGTTGCCGCTGCAGATGTTTAGCTGTTTGCATTATTACCAAAAATTTACCCATTTTCTCTACGTAATAATCATCGATGATGGGTAACAGGGAGCTGAAATAGAGAATATAGAGGGAATAAATACATTTTAGTAATTTTAATAAGTCTGCGAGGCCGTTATATGGGGGCCATACGAAAACGGGAACCTATATAGGCAATTTTATACTTCAAGGATTGTCATCTACCAAATCTTCTTAAATACCAAATTTGAAACAATTTTGTGGGTAAATGTGACTAGGATTATCAAAATACCGAATATCGGTGGGTATCGTTATTTGTGCGATATAGAAAAAAGTGGACCTAAATATTCAATGTTCTGCCACCGGAACTAGAACGCATTATGAACTAAAAATACCAATTTTTAAAGAAATCCGTGGAAAAATGTGGCAAAAATTATCAAAATACGGAAAATCGGGAGGTACCGTTATATGGAGGCTATACAAAAACGTGGATCTATACATACAATGTTGCGCAATCGGAGCTAGAGCCCATTATGACCATTTTTTAGACAAATCCGTGGAAAAATGTGGCAGAAATCATCAAAATACTGAATATCCAGAGGTACCATTATAAGGCGGCTAGAACTCGTTACGAACTACAAATACCGACTTTTAGACAAATCCGTGGAAAAATGTGGCAAAAATCATCAACATACCGAATATTGGGAGGTACCATTATATGGGTGCTATACAAAAACGTAGACCTATACATACAATGTTTCGCCACAAGAGCTAGAACCCATTATGACCCACAAATATCAATATTTTTACAAATCCGTTAAAAAAATGTGGCAAAAATCATTAAAACACCGAATATCGGGAGGTACAGTTATATGGGGACTATACCAAAACGATATACCAACCATCCTAGACACAACAATACAAATTGTTTTCCTAACGGTCCGCGCCAAATAATGCTTGCTGTATCGTGATTTCAACAAACTTAGAATTTTATGCTGATTATGAATATATATACTTTATGGGGTCTACGACGAATATTTAGTGATGTTACAAACGGAATGACAAAGTTAATATACCCTCCTTTCCAAGGTGGAAGGTATAAAAATATTTATTGGAGCAATAGATATACCGGTCCGAGTTTCACCAAATGATTCGTTGAATATGAAAAAATCTATTCAATTCGGTCTGATATTACATATATGGTGAGCGATAACCGTAAAATCGGATGGAAATGTATATCGAAGCTGTATACAAATCTGAACCTATCTCGATAAAATTTCGCAGAGGTATTTTCGAGCAGTATTTGATGCCCAGTATCATTGTTGTGGAGTGAATATTACGCATGTGAGGAACTTTAACACCAAATCGGTTAAAACACGAACTTTTAGGGCGAAATCTGTGGAAAGAGTCAAAATTCGGTGCATTTGGGCTGATATTAGCCATTTGTTTTACAATAAACATAAAATCGGATTAAGGATATATATGGGAGCTACATCCAAATCTAAACCGATAACATTTGGCAAAGGTATTTCGAAGCTCTATAATATACCTGGTTCCAAATATCATTGTTGTCGAATGCATATGAGGAACTTAAACACCAAATCGGGGGCTATAGATATATCTGAACCCATTGTAACCAAAATTTTGAATATTTGATTTTAGGATCAATTAAGTCGGAATTTCCAAAATTCAGTCCATTTGGGATGATATTAGCCATTTGGTCCACAAAAAATCTGAAATCGGATAAAGATATATATGGGAGCTATATTGAAATCTGAACAGGACTTGACGAAATTTTAAAACTTTATTTCTAGAGCTGTATCTCATATCTGGTACCATAGATTATTATTATTGTGGGGTGCATATTACGAATGTGAGGGACTTAAAACTCCAAACCGGATGAAACATATATATGGGAGCTATAGATATATTTGAACCTATTTTCACAAAATTTGAAGTATATGCTTTTAGGTTGAATTAAATCAGATAGACAAAATGCAGTTCATTTTGGCTGATATTACCAATTTGGTGTACAATATACCTGATATGAGTTATCTGGTACCAAATATCATTCTTCTGGAGTGCATATTATCTCAAATCGAATGAAACATTGTATGGGAGCTATAGCCATATCCGAACCCATTTTTTTCCAAATTTGATGTAATTCGGTCGGATGTGCCAAAATTCAGGTCATTTAGACTGATATTGTCCATTTGGTGCACAATTTACCTGGAATCAGTTGAAGATATATGTGGAAGCTATATCTAAATGTAAACAGATTCTCACCAATTTCAAAAGGGTTCGTCCTTGCGCCAAACAAATATTTTTTGGAAAATTTCATCTCAATCGGATAATAAATGAGAACTGCATTTCGTTCACCAAAATACATAGACAGACGTACGGACGGGCTGACATGCATAGATCGACTCAGAAATTGATTCTATTAAGATCCTCAAAAGTAACTATGGGTCTATGTCGCTTCCTTCTCCATGTTACAAATAAATGCACAAATACATATTACTCAAATTACTGTTCTCAATTTCAGAACTTGTAAAATTGCAAAAGTGATTTTCGTCGATGCAGATGTTTGTCGCCACTATATATAGGGTAAGTGTACCAGTAGTCGGCACTTTTAGGCTTTTCAATATTTCAATCTTTCGACATTCTGAATGAAATCTTTTAATTGCAGAAAAGTAGAGTTGTTCAGATTCCAAATTTTGTTTAATTTTTGAAATAATAAACAACAATTGAATTTGTTTTTATTAAATTGGCAAAATTTGCAATTTTACTAAAATAGTAGTTTTTTGCCAGTAGTCGGCACCATTTTCCAATGCTCGGCATGTCTATTTGCCAATAGTCGGCATATGGTATTTCAGTAACTTAAACACCAAATCGAAAAAAAAAATATTATTTTGTATATTTTTTATTTCAAATAGTATAAAACAATGCTATATTATTAATTCACAGTTTAATTAACTAATTTCGTTTTTAAATAGCGTTTTATTTATTTATCATTCTAAACCAAATATAGGTAGAAAATCAAGAATAGTATGGTTACCTTCAATTAAAATAAAAATGAGATTAAATAAAAAAGTACCTCTCTTATATTTGGAATTTGTGAATTGATCTTTTTCCTTTAGATAACCAACATCTTTTTTAAATGCCACCACTATCTAAAATGTCAAATAGCTGATTTAAAGAACAACCCTCTTAATTTAGAAAAGTTGGTCAAAAAGCACAAATAAAAGCAACTGCCGACCCAAAACTATTTTTTTATTTGAGAAGTTTTTGGATTATTTTTTAATACTTTTCTCAAGTTTTGGTGAAATAGGTCAACAATTATATTTTTCTAGTAATCGGCACCCCCTGCCGACTACTGGCAAATCTCTTTTTTTCTGTTCCTAATGTCGGCATTAAATAATATAAGTGAAAAATGCCTGATTATGTATTTTTTTAAGTTATAAAATGATCTTTAGACTGTTATTTACCATTATAAAATATTTCTGATTCCAAAAGTATTAAATTTAATTTACTTAAATCGATTGTTAAGTTGTCGCCACCACTATTTTTTTCTTTACAAACAAGCACTATCGCACGCGCTGGAAGACACTCACTGACGACAACCGTTATTCTCTCGTAATAAATGATCGGAGCTCATTGTTTTTTTTTTTTTTTTTACAGAAAGAGAGCAGAGAACAGTGTTGACGTTTTTTTTTGCAATTATTTCATTATTTGGTCAATTCCATTTTTAGTTATTTAAGTTTAAATTTCAAAACTGCCGACTACTGGGACATGCCGAACTTAGGCGCACTTACCCTACAGCTATCTACAGTTTCAAATAAGGGTTTGAATAACTTTCAGCACGACAGAGGGCTTAAATATAGGACAATTTCCACGAAATCTTGCATAATTTCTTGGCAACGGTGAAAGAACATAAATAATATTCCATAACTATATGACGATTATTCTATTATTATTATAATGACAACATCCGACCTCTACATTGAATATTAATACATTATTTATAACCCGTGAAAATCGAAAACTGGAAAACAATCCCTGATATTTGGAATGATTGTTATGTGGTCTAACTATATTACCAAAATTGCGAGGAACTCGTTCACTCAAAAGGGCTGCATGAACTTACCTGAAAGCACGATAAGAGTCCACATACCACAGATTATAACTGTATATGTGATCGTTTTGATGATAGCGCTTGGTGGAAATTTCATATTTCAATGAAGTTGTACCCTTCAAATAGCTCGTCAGATAATCGTAAATAACAATTTCCCAACTCGGGCATGATTCGACATTCACAGCAACGCTCAGGAGACGTGTTCTCCTCTGGAAATATGCTCGAATTGTATTTTCAATACTTCGATTAGCTCTGTACAAGAACAATTTCCATTTCTTCAAGGATGCATCATATCCAGAAGTGTGGACAAATTGTAGAGAAAAGAATATAAGTGTGAACTTTAAAACTTTCATGTTGGCAGATTCTTTGCAACTGAATTTTGTAATGGCAATATGCTCTAGCTAACGATTCGGAATGTAAAAACTATTTCAATGGCAAACATATTCATCACCTTTGTGGTTAATTAGAGAACATGACATGGTCAATTGGAGTTGTTGTATAAAATATTTAATTGGCTTGCCAGTCTTACTGGACACTAATTTACTAGAAACTGAAAATGTCCAATTGACTTTGGGCGACATTGTTGGGATTTTTTTAAAAATAGAAAATTCCAAGAATTCTCGGAACAAAAAACAAGTTTGAAAGTTCTAGCTTGTGTTTCGACAGAAATATTTGGTCGAACTCATGGGGGGGGGGGGGGGGCGTGCATCTAAAATGAATCAATTTTGTGCCACTTTTTATATATTTTACATGGTAAAGATTATGTTCTGACCCTTAGCATTTGACATTTTATTTGCCATTAGGACGACGTACCACAAAGATTGAGCTCCCATAGCCCTCCTTTGCACTTGATGTTATATTAATAAAATTATTGCAATGTGCGAAATTTGTAGAGAACTGGGAATAATTTCGGATTTTTTTGATAAAAAAAATTGCATTACCAATTATTGGATCTCCCAATCAT